CTGAAAAATCTTGAAGTCTGTATGAAATTGGAGGTAGTTTGAGGATTAAATTTCTTAAGCTTTTTAAGCTCAAAAAAGGGGAGTCATATTATACATGAGATTGTATTATACACAAATAAATACTGTAATTTCTCAAATTTTTCACTGACRTTTTGTTTGTTTATCAGAGGATAAACTCGCAGTGCCTCTTGACTTGACCCGTCGTCCTTCAAACATCATTCTGTCCGATGATATAAAGGAGGAGGAGAAAGAGGAGGAGGAAGAAGAAAACAAGGAAAAGCAGCTTACAGAGGAGAGCAACCCAAGGTAACGCTTTGAGGTTTGTCGACTCTGCCCCATAATTTCCTGTTGGGCTCATGTCTGACTCCTCCGTGTCGTCTAGGTTGTGCGGTTGCTCAGAGTCCTGTGTTTCTGACCTGGAGGGTTCTGAATGGTTCAGCAAACACTACGACCCTCAACAGCAACCCATCCTCCGTGCTAACCACAACTTTGAGCCTGATGCAATTAAGTGGTGGCTGGTGAGGACAAATGGCTCATTGTTTGTTTGTTACTCTTCTTTAAAAAGTATTTTAAAGTCTGTTTTTAGCTAGAATAGTAAGCTTAAATAAAGCAAACTCTTTAATTATTTTCTGAGCTGCAACTGCAAGAAGAAAAATTAAAACTGTTCGGTCGATTAATCATGTCTATATATTTTTGTCACATGCATGGGAGCTCTTTTAAGACGTAGATTATTCAAAGTTATAAATGTCCATTTCTAAAACCCACACTGATAATTTAAAAAACTAGCCCTGCAGATTAAACCTTAAACTTGAAGGAGCTGCCAGGGGTGGGTTCAAATCCTTTTAACGGGAGGCCTGGGGCTGAAGGCAGCGTAAGCTTCCATGTTTTTTAGACAGCGGGTGGAAACTGGAAACCTGCTAACTAAACCACAATGCTGGCCAAATGTGCCTTTTACTGTACAAACTGCATACACAAAAATAGACCATGGTCACATTGCTCACCTGTCATTTGGTTACAAACACTCAAAATTTACAAATATGCTGCAGCTGAAAATTTGCCCAATTTCTTACACATTTGCATTATTTCCAAATTGTTCTGCAATCTGTGTTGGTCAGTTTTTAAAGTGTAGCTGTTTCATAAATCAACAAAAAGTTACATCTTATATTACATCAAATATGATGGTTAAGAAGCAATAACGGTTTGAGTCCTCAAACAGGAAAAGGTTGCAAGTTAGTTACAGGAAAGAGTTGCTCATCTTCACCGACAGGCTGAATCACAAAAGAGAAGTTAGTGGAAAAGAGCAACAAACAGTGTGACATCACAAATCTGTGATGTTTTAGTCTGTGGTCTGGACCGGCCATGAAAATGTTGAAGATTGGCTCTTTTGGGAAGCTGTCAGCAGTCTGCACCAGGAGAAAAATGTCTCCAGTCTTTCCCCTGCATTCATATATTGAGGCTTGCTGTTGGAAAGCATTAGCAGATTAAAAGGAGGAGGGGTGGGAATGCTGCAAACATCATCACTCTGGTGTAGAGCTAAAAAAAAGGTTTAATTAGTTTATCTTTGCTCTTGTTTAAAGGGTTCTTTTTTTTAGTTCCAATCTGAAACTTTACAGAAAGATGTTTAAGTTTAGTTTAATTC